GACGTGATAGAGGTTTACAAAATATTGTCCGGGATATACGACTATGAAGTATCCGACATATTTTATATCACGGAAAGTTCATTACACTCGGACACGATTTTTGTAATAAACATCCGTCAAATGTTGTGAAGCACAGTTGAACAATTTGAATAAGAATTAGATGAACACTGGCAAAACCAAGCGCAGAAATACAGTTTCAAGAAAAAAATCGAAATCGAAATATTTAATTGTTTTTTTATTTCAGAGCTGACTGTCAAAGGATTGTAAAATTCTAATTTTATCAGAATAACTCTATGTATCTATGTATAAAACTATGCAACAAAGAAATGTGGATATAATGATACTTTCGTTTTTGCATGATTTATTCCGGAATGTTTAGTATTTCTGTTTCAAAATTTAGTTATCTAAGTCATATGAATGTTTGATAACAGCAAGTGGATCAGTTGAAAAGAATCAATAATAACGAACACCTTGAAGATCCTGATCAGGAAACTAGGCACGCAACTTTACATGTTTCGATGATATGTCAGTCAAAATCATTGGCAATTATCCACTGTTAATCGAAACAGGAATGTATGTGCGCATTTTAATCAATGACGTCGACATATTGCGCCTTTATCGCTGTAGTCGTTTAAATAGACACAACAGATTTATTGATTCAAGTTAACAGGTTAGGCTCCAGACTACAATGGAGAAGGCCGGAGTCACATGTGTATAACATATAACTACACTGTACACATGTGTTACCTGTACAAGGCGCTTACGTTCGGGAGCTCGGCTGAGACATTTAAATGAGGAAAACTTAATGTGCTGAAGAAATACCTCCAAAACGAACATGGTGCATGCGTGCTAGAATACAGACGTGTTGTATATTAATGTCATCTTAATTGTGACCTCTGTTAATTTTTTAAATGTGTTTAAAGACTTAAGTATTTTTACAATACAATAATTGGAGAGACGAAAAATTCAAGTGTAAGGAAGAGATTCATCATTTATACAGAATATAAATAACTGTTCCATTATATTCTGCCATGGAGAAACCGACTGAAAGTGTCAAAATTCTTGTGGATTTAATAAAATCTACAAATGAAGCGTCTTTGTTGAAAGCTGGAATTGTCAAGTTTTCAAAAGCTGCCATAGAATGGTATGTTGATCAGGAAGACATCGACATCTTACATCACGCTATTATAGCCAACAACATCGAGGCTGTGGGGTTGTTTTTCCATAAAGGATATTTCAAGCTTCCTCATGAATCTCCTTCGGTGCCATATATTCACTTGTGCGCAAGACTAGGACACAAGACAATTCTTGCCATGTTGATTCAAGAGCGAGGTCAAGATAACATTCCTATGGAATTCGAGTATTACGGCCCAACAGGATTATGTGGAGATTCGCCGAAAGCCATGAGGATATCCATGATGGGTGGTAAAGAAAAGTTGTCTCCCCTGGACATAGCTGGGGAGTATGGACATATAGGGTGCGTGTATACTATCCTTAACCATTTTTACGGAGGAAAGGTTAGGCACAAAACCAAGAGTACCAAAGAGGCTTATGTGAACCTCGCCTGTGAACTTGATTCGCCGCCAGCTCTCAGGTTACTGCTATCACACAAACCGACAGAGGAGGACATAAAAAACGCAGTAGGTGTTGCACTGAAGATGGCTAGGCCAGAATGTTTGGACGTTTTACTGAGTCTAAAACCCGACATTAGTTCACTATTTGGTGGCATGAATTTGTATCATGTTCTCTTCTCCTACAGTATGTCCTTCAAAAAATCCTGGTACGAATCACTGCTTACCGTTACCACTCTCCTTATCAAACATTCACATGACTTGTCGAAGTGTCTTCCTTACAGGACATACCCATTGTATAGCTTATTAGCACACTCGTCTTGTCATGACTTGGACAACTCGTCCCCATATCTACTAGCATGCCTTCTGGTCATGCTGAATGCTGGTGCTGACCCAAATTTTGACGAACTGGAATTCGAAAAAGAGCTTACAAAGAGAAAATTCACTGCAACTGCAGCGTTTGGACGATCTGCGTTTTCTTCCTCAATGCATTGCTTGTTTGACACTATTGGGAAATATTCGGAAGAGGTGCAGATAGAACAAAAACTTTGTCTCAGAAGTCACCTAGGGAAATGTACAGAAGCTTTACTGAAACACGGAGCAGATCTTAACTACGTAGGGAGGATGGAAGACCAGTGTGATACGTATGGAAACAGCCTACATTGCTTTTGTAGAATTGCTCCGAAAATTGGTCTTGGCGGAAAAATGTTAAAACTACTTTTGCGGCATGGCGCGAACCCTGATGCAAAGGTATACGGATACTACCCAATAAATGTGTTTTTCGAGCAACTTTTAGCATATGCTACAAACTCGGACAGTTCCCACGTCGTTGACGTAGAACACAGTGTGTTTATTATGGACTCGATGGCACAGTCAGCATTGCGAGATTCATTTGAAATCTTCAACGATATGGCGGCGAGTTTTGAGCAGCCCTCATCGAAGCACGCGCGAATTTTAGCGCTTATTAAGACCGAGTACGAGAAACGTGTTTCGGACGTCTGGACACTTCGTAGGTGCTGTGTGTTTACTGTGTGGGTCAGTTGTGGCCGGAGAATTGACCAGGCAGCGCAGCTTCCCTTACCAAAACGGTTGCGCGACAGTATCACAGATTCTCTGGAATATATAGTTTGAAAAGATCTTGTTAATATCAGTATACCTGCCATGTCTGTCATGTGTATTATTGTTATTCGTGTAATTTGAGTATTAATGTTTTTAGTTTATTGTAGAAAATAAATGTGTGTTACTTTCTCAAGAAATGAATGTTTTCAAACATGATTTTGAGAGGTTTTTTTTTTAATGATGTTCAAACAATGCACTGACAGCTATGGCTTTGTTTTTTAAACGGACGCTGACGAATTTATTCTAAAGAAATTCAAATTAAAGTGGATTTTTTCATATTGCTGATTTTTTTCCTACTTTCTGGTACCTATAAAAGCAAATAATGTCAAACCAGATCCCATAACCATTTTTTTTTTTTAAAGGCTATTGATACAGATAAAAAAATGCATATTTTGGTCTTCAAACAATTTGTCGAAAAGAAATTTTGAAGCAAAAAAATTAGTAAATAAGCAGAAAGGTAAACTTCTATTATACGCATACAGCTGATAAGTTCTAGTTTGTTAACTTGTATGTAATCGAAAAAAGAAAGTAATAAGTTAAATTTGATGTACCTGTACATTTTCCTCTGGTTCTGAATAATTCTAAAACACTAAGAAATTATTGTAATATATTACTTATTCTCAATAATAACTAACACGTACTTTCATTGAGCATTTCATTATCAAGCGCAATTCAAATTTGATGAAAACAATTATACAAACAATGATTTGGCGCCAAACACTAAGGCCGGTAGTTCAGGTTGACGATTGTTTAATGGATTAAACATTATTGAATAGTTTCAAAATTACTAAGGTGGTATAAGTTTTGTGTTTTTTCCACAGTTATTAAAGGATTTTGGCCAAGTTTTTTTACTTTATGAAGATTAGAAGATGCGAAACCTGTTTAATAAATACCGAATCCGCCATCAACGAGCGTTCGGAAGTGTCCTGCTGCAATCAAAGGTGACTGTTCCTTACTTCGTTTTAGAATTTTAATTTTAATGAGCTAACAGGTCACGTGGTACTTGTAACGTCATAGAAGCAGGTTCGGGTCGTTCAGGAGCCACACCTATATTTTTCTGATTTGGTTCAATGGACGCGTCTTACAGTTTGATTCTTGGCATGAACTATACATACTAAATACAATTCTCTACCAGTTTAAGCCAAAGACAGGACCAAAAAATCACTATATATACGTAAACTTTTACATCGGAAGACTTTCTGATCCGACAGGGATGTACATGTAAATAAGATACACATATATAACAGCGGCTACACAGAATGAAACCTTCATATGTTACTTGATTAAAACAAAATAAATATATATGACATAAGAGCTAGTTTAGTGATGTTGCAACTATTCAGAATGATAAATTTGCAATGTAATTAATATACTGTAATGTTCTGAAATCTGCTGACAAATCGCTTGTATTCCTCCCACTTAATACCCCCTGTAACGTTATATGTCCACACATCAGCGTCTTATATAGCATCCCGCTCGAAGCTGTTGGGCTAGTGTTAAAGAATATGACATTTGATCATCAAAATGAAAATCATTTTATTTTATTTTTTAGTTAGGCTTATCGGTGATATTTCTATGAAAAAACCCACTTACAGTGTTATCTACAGATCTAGAATTCTGCCAATGAATGATGATAACTTCAGTATCAATGATACTGAAATGAACGCCCCACTCCAGCTTCTAATATCACATGATTGACGCTGGTACATAAGAGATGCATTTGCTAAAAAAATAAGGCGAACTTCAGAGATAACGCTGAATGTTTATAAAGCAAATGAGATACGGAACAATAATGTATTTAAGAAATGTCACTGTTTTACTTTTTAAAATATTTATGTAAATTTAATACATTGTACCACTACATAGATCCTTGTATATACTATGCAATGTATATATGACACAGACATTTTGGTCTTTAGCTGAATAAAGTATACCATTATTTTAACTTGATTGCCTTCTATCTATTCACTCGAAAAGGGCTTCTCATTAGTTATTCCATTCGCCCAAGCCCCGGTGGCATTAACAAACACATACTGATTGTCAACAACACACACACTATGCCATTTCATGATAATTCACCATCGTGATTACAAAACCAATCCACTTAACAAAAGCTTTGTCATTTTATGAACTATCTATTACTGACCAACCTATCTTAAATAACTTGAACTAAAAAAAAAATCTGACCGGCTTTACCTGATTATGAACTGACCCGGCACTGCACGTGTCGCGTGTACCTCAGGGTACGGTACCAGGCAGTCAGCCTGGCAGAATTTCACGCTAAATCCGGTGTCAACCGCGCAAAATAATTAAAAATTCGCGGTAATGCCTCCTTTAAACCGGAAGCGGTTTTTGCGCATGTCTTTCGCCGGTGCAATTTTCTCTTCCTGTTACCAGATTGAACTTGTTTTTGAAAAAGAAGAAATGCCTCAGGAGGTTTGTTTTGCTTGCAAATGTTGTGTTATAGTGTGGAATGGATGAGTTAAACGCAAAAAGGAAAGCTAATACCAGATATGCACGTTTAAGTTATAGCTACTTCAGTACGGATAGAACATTCAATAACTGTCAGACTGACTTGTTTACGTACTCATGATCAATGTTATGTTTTGATGGGGAGATCATGAATGATATTATATATTAACTGTTCTATTTATTTACTTGATTCTGACGATTGGCAGTATGTCTGAATTCATAACATTGACCAATGATAAATATAAGTTCCACTGACCTGACTTGACTCAAATACTGCGAATGAAACGGCGGTGGTATATTGCTAAATTTAACACATTATCAGATTATACCGCATTATAACGTGTGATGATGTTAAAAGTTTATGAGAAAATGTAATGATGTCATGATGTGTGTTCGGAATTGCTCCAGATACGGTAAAGTTTAGTCCCAACATGCTGCCACGGGTGCTCGGGATTCTGGAACGTGTATTTTAGTATATTGCATATCTGGGTTCCAGGACAATCAAATTTTTAGGAAACATCCAGCGTTGGTGCTTAACACTCTAGAACGGCGGTCTTTAGCTGATAGAAGAAAGGATCAAAGGCTTACCACTCTACATAATTAGAAATGACTTGATAACTGTAAGGAAAACTCCACTCATTCCACCAAATTGCCTCTCCCGTCATTCCCATCAAAATTCTTACCAAATACCATCTTGCAAAACACAGTGTAGAAAATTTTCTTTTATTTCCCAAGAAATATTTCCAACTTAAACAACTTACTGCGACATATATCACCTCTGTCGATTCAAATTAGCACTTTCTCACATTTATCAGGCCTCTTGCATTGTTATACAGTCTCTTGCAAATTATCTTCAACTTGTTGACGTTGGGCAGTATCCAATAGATGTACAGTCACTGGCCATAAGTATTGACGCATATCGGCGACGTCATATTTGTTTATGCTAAGATTTTATAAGGGAGGGAATATTTAAAAGTGGAATATCTCAATAAATAAAGAAGGTACTACTTACATGAAATTTATCTGTCCCCTAGCTCTAATTACACTTCGTAATCTCTTTGGTAGTGTATCATATAGGTTCCGAATATAGCACAAAGGCAAACTTGACCATATATATCGTTCACGAATCTGATCAGATATGCTCTGTTTTGAACCTCTCCCAAACGTTTCGAAGGACAGGTTTTTATTGTTTTCCAAACATTTTCAATCACATTTAGATCTCGACTTTGGGATGGTCATGGTAAAGTTCTGATATTATTTACAGTTTTCCACTCGTTAGCTCTCCTCGAGACATGACACAGGGCATTATCTTCTTGTAAAATCTAGGGTGTAATTGCAAAATGTCTCGCGACAACAGGCCATAAATTTTCATCTAAAATGGAAATATACTTATCACTGGTTATGTTTCCATCAACAGATGTAAGTGTTCTGACCCCAAAATAGGAAATACATCCCCAAAACATAGCCGAGAAACGCACATTTCGAGCACTGTAGGGCACAACCCCATCACAGTTGGGATGTAACCGCTCACATTTTTTCCTCCATACAAACACTTTCCTGTCAGTCCCGATTTCTATTTTTGTTTCATCATTAAATATGATATCTGACCAATTATTTGTAACTGTCCAATGAAGTTTTGTCCGACAACTTATAGGAATACATTTTATTCACTTAATGACGTCGCAATTATGCGCCAATATATACTTATATGGCCAGTGACTGTAGACATAGAAAAGTGGGGTGTGATACATACATTGTAAGCGTTGTGTACATCTCGGGTTATAAGTAGTGACATGCAATACCTAATTTAGAATCCAAGCATCTAGCTGTTTCAAGTGAGATCCCTGCATAGTATTTAGTTATCATGGTATGGTACGTCATTTCAAGTCTGTCAGTCAGAGAATGAGTATTAATACATTATCTCTGGTGAATTAATTGATTTAAAGTTGTATTGTTATTGCTGATTGTAAGGGTTGTATTAATTGCAGAGGCCTTTTTATGAATGCGAGTGTCATAATTGTAAGCTCATTGTTTCAATTCATGAAATCAACCCTTGTTAGGGTTCTTTGGTTTCTTTACTCTGTATAGTGCTTTTAAGTCATATATAATTAATTAAATGATTCCAAAAAGAGACTTTGTTAATTAGTTGAATACAATTGTTAAAAGGGTTACACTAAATACAATTGTATCACCATGCTTAGTCTGTCTTACCAGGTGCTTGATGTCCATACTTTCCACTCCCTCACTCAGGTGTGACGTAAACATACACATGCGGACAGACTAGGCCAGGTTATGTATTGAGTAATACACATAATGTACAACTATGTACATACAGTCTACATATATATGATGCTAGTGCTGAAACAGTCGAATTTCAGAACATTTTTAATAGAATGTTCCAATCTTAAATACAGTCATGATAATTACCTTCGAGTCCTGGATATGAAAACTCTTTTCAGTTCCGTGGACTCGAAGGCATTATTTAAATATTTGAAAGACATCAGTCTATTCTATAGACTTCGATGTCTTTTAACCCTTCTTACCCTCTTTGAATTTTTGATGTTATATATATATATCGCATATTCCATATAATCTATTCATTATCTCTTATTATTTTTTAACCCCTTTTTTATTTTAATATTTTTACACATACAATGCAAATGTTTTTAAAAATATTCATTTTTATCTGATTTTATCTTCACTACTCACATATTTGTAAAAAAAATCATCATGACCCTAAATGACCACAGTTGTCGTTTAAACACAAACAATAATTATATAAACAAACATTAATACCACATCTACACTGAACCCTTGTGGTAATTATTTTTCTATAAGAGATGCACAATTTCAGAAGTCTGACACCTTCTTGTGCTGGTAGGAAGACGTTAAATATTTTTGTTTGAGCTAGTGGCAATTTATACATGTGTATATAGATATATGAGTAAAGAAGTAATAATTATAACAACAGTGCAGACAAAGAAACTTGTCAAATTTTCAGGGAGATCTGCCCCTTAATCAAGACAGGAACATGAAAATTTACATATCACAACATGAAATTAAAACAAAGAAAAACAGTCACCATGAAACAAAAATACAATACATAAACAAACAGAATTTACTTATATATATACATTTGTATGTGTATATAGATATACATGTAGATGGTCTACTATTGTGAAAAGTAAGGTTGGGCTAGTAGAGCTCTTCATAATCATCCTGTCAGTAATTAGCTAGTACTCGAACAAAATTGTACACCCTTGTTTCTGCAACCCTACTAATGCAAAAAGTTTAAACCATGTTGACTCTACTTGTTTTGGCCTTTTGCTTTTCATGTTGTGTTCATGAAAAGCTTTAATGTACCAGAACTTTGTTTTCCAATATTTTCTGTTTTTGTTTTAAGGATCATCTTGGAGGGGAGTGGGCCCACAGTACTCTCAACCGGGCACAGATGATGGGACAGGATGTTCTTCAGCGCACAATGATGCGGAAGATAGAATGGCCTTCCCAGAAACTGGACCAGAAAAATCCTGTTGAGGTCATTATTATATATACATGTATATATGATTAGTCAGATTGCAAGCTAGGGATTTGGTCCCTTGCCAAAAAAAACATTTAAAAAGGAATAATGATTTTTAAGCTCTTTTGGGTTTCTATTAGCTGCTCACCTACTTCCTAAGGTTGCAGTGTACAATAGCGTATGGTGGCCATGGGTGATATTTTTGTTAAATGAATAACCCCAGTAATATATCATGTATCAAAACTTCAGCTCTAAAATTGGTATATATACATGATGAATTGGACTATGTGGGCTTCACATTTAAAGAAACGAAAAATCGAATTTGGCTCGAGACTCCATTTTTTCGCCATTTTCAAATCTGTGTCTACACAACAAAACCTAGCTTTTCATGTAGTCTATTTTTGGACTCAGCACATGTGTAAATATTGCGAAAAATCCAGTTGAACGACCTATGCTATAACGTGAGTATTTCTGTTACCGAGAAGGTGATATTTAATTTAAGACAGGTTTAAAGAAAAAAATACTACTTGCGTAGGTCAAATTTTGGGTCACAAATCATGTATTTTTTGCATTTTTTGGCTTTTTTTGATGTGGTAACCATGGTTATCACAAGTCCCAAATCTAGGGAAATCGCTTTTTGAAGAAAAAAAATCATTCTTCTAAAAAAAACTGTTCAAAATGTAGTTTATAAATATATATATGTAGGTGTGTTGTGCAGGATGAATCCACTATCCATGTTTATCCGAGACATGTCCTTTATTTTTAGGATCAAGCCATTTCTACTGTACTCTGCTACCTAACAAACACACATATGGTAACTGGTTTTATAAGTAACTATTTGTGTAAGGATTTCCAAATATTAGGCACTATTCTTTATCATCAAGATTTTATGAAACAAGTTTTCCAGCTTAGATTAATCTGTTGACAGCCTTTCATTAATATTGGAGGAAACTTCGAGTTCTGTGTATACCCAGATAAAATTGGTGGGGTAGTTGACCAACCGGTAATACCTTTCCAAAATGAAATGCAAGTGCACAATCCACTACGCTAACTTATGACCTTCACTGAGTTATCAGTGTGTGATGTCATTTAGATCTATACAAGTGTTTAGTTTAGGATGATTTCTATGAGGGGTATATATCCTCCATACTACAGGGGTTACACGCTCACTATTGCTCTCTGCACCCCTGGAATATGTCATAGCAAAATTGAAGGCGCGCGGCTAGTAAAAAACCTGACCAATCACTAGGCTGATACCTGTCCTTTGAAGATAACAGGGGAGCGATACCGACTTCAAAGCCAGTAAGATTTACCATTACACGACCACATGATTCTTTTGATGTTCATCAAAGGATCAAACTGGTCTTGTCTTACCCACAAGGTGGTACACACCGAGCCTTCCATTTTGCTATGACATATGCTAGGGGTGCAGAGAGCGAAAGTGAGCGTAACCCCTTGATATCGAGGATGTAGGAGGGGTTGCGGAAAGAAGTTCAAGATCATTTTGAAGATCTCCTTTGTTAATTTGACAATGACATTGTAGAATTCTAATTCCAAGAACTTTTTCAGGTAAATTCTCCACAAAGCTTACCTACTTATCTCAGATACTGTACTTGTCTTATTCCTATAGATTATAGTTTCAAATAGACACTTGTTCATATGTGTTTGTAGGACCCATTGGTATATACAACAGTGGATGACGCATTTGCCTCTGTGCTACAGTTCATGTCTCAGACAACCAGGCAGTGTCAGGTAAGCATTAAGAGAATTAAAGTAATCAAAACTTGTCTGATTTTGCAATAAACTTTTTGTGAATTAATTTAGCATTGGTTGAAGTAATTTCATTAAATCCCATGTGAAATTGAAACAAACAAATTGCTGGCGACTCCAAAAATCTCACTTGTATGCATTTACATCATTCCTATATCAATATACAGTATCATTATTCAGAAATAAAAAAAAAATGTTTATTTCATATTGCTAACTCACAGGCAGATTTTGAAAAATTCTACAAGTTTGAACTTTATTTTAATTGTAAAAATTGGAAATTTTCACTAGCCCTGACATCAAATATACTAGCCTAGGGTGTCCAACCAGCTGAATAGTATACATCATATCACCGATACTATTGCCTGCTTACAGCTTAATTGCAAACACTTCAGTACATATCTATGTATGTCTTGGTTGGTTCATAAGAGTTATAACTACATATAATTATATTTAAACTGACAAAATATTTGCTTGAACATAAGAAATTGAAACAAAAGGTAAATTTAATGAAATAAGCTAATTCATCTTCTGTTATTATCTGTAAAATGACAGAGGTTTTACAAGAGCAATGAGGAGAGCATCCAGAATCAGTGTGATGAAGTGCATTGTAGCCGCTTCCATACCCCAGCTTATACAGAGATCCAACACAAAAACCCAGTAAGTAATTCTTCTATACCCCAGCTTACACAGAGATCCAACACAAAAACCCAGTAAGTAATTCCTCTATACCCCAGCTTACACAGAGATCCAACACAAAAACCCAGAAAGTAACACTTCTATACCCCAGCTAACACAGAGATCCAACACAAAAACCCAGTAAGTAACACTCCTATACCCCAGCTTACACAGAGATCCAACACAAAAACCCAGTAAGTAATTCCTCTATACCCCAGCTTACACAGAGATCCAACACAAAATCCCAGTAAGTAACACTTCTATACTCCAGCTTACACAGAGATCCAACACAAAAACCCAGTAAGTAATTCCTCTATACCCCAGCTTACACAGAGATCCAACACAAAAACCCAGAAAGTAACACTTCTTTACCCCAGCTTATACAGAGATCCAACATAAAAGGAGATCCAACACAAAACCCCAGTAAGTAACACTTCAATACCCCAGCTTATACAGAGATACAACACAAAACCCCAGTAAGTAACACTTCTATACACCAGTTCATACAGAGATCCCACACAAAACCCAGTAAGTAACACTTCTATACCCCAGCTAACACAGAGATCCAACACAAAAACCCAGTAAGTAACCCTTCTATACCCCAGCTTATACAGAGATCCAACACAAAACCCCAGTAAGTAACACTTCAATACCCCAGCTTATACAGAGATACAACACAAAAACCCAGTAAGAAACACTTCTATACCCCAGCTTATACAGAGATCCAACACAAAAGGAGATCCAACACAAAACCCAGTAAGAAACACTTCTATACCCCAGCTTATACAGAGATCCAACACAAAAACCCAGTAAGTGACACTTCTATACCCCAGCTTATACAGAGATACAACACAAAAACCCAGTAAGTAACACTTCTCTACCCCAGCTTATACAGAGATCCAACACAAAAGGAGATCCAACACAAAACCCCAGTAAGTAACACTTCTATACCCCAGTTCATATAGAGATCCAACACAAAAACCCCGAAGTAACACTTCTATACCCCAGCTTATACAGAGATACAACACAAAAACCCAGTAAGTAACACTTCTATACCCCAGCTTATACAGAGATCCAACACAAAAACCCAGTAAGTAACACTTCTATACCCAAGCTTATACAGGGATCCAACACAAAAACCCAGTAACACTTCTATACCCCAGCTTATACAGAGATCCTACACAAAAACCCAGTAAGTAACACTTCTATACCCCAGCTTATACAGAGATCCAACACAAAACCCCAGTAACTAACACTTCTATACCCCAGTTCATAGAGATCCAACACAAAAACCCAGTAAGTAACACTTCTATACCCCAGCTTATAAAGAGATCCAACACAAAAACCAAGTTAGTAGCACTTGCATATGCAAGCTTATGTACCACTTAAGTTGCACCTCAGTATCCCTTTTTTCACAGATTCAACACAAAAGGCATTAAGTTAACGTCCCTTTCTACGCTTACAGGGAGATCTGTTGGGGAAACCCCAGTTAGTAACATTCTTATACTGGAGTTTTTGCATGTACATTGATCAAGCTCGAAACACCTATTTGCTCCTTGCTTGTACATAGATCCAACTCAAACCCCAATAACACTTATACCACTGTTTATAGTGATCCAGAAAAATAAAACAAAGTAAATTACACACTTAATTCTCTACACATAGTTATCTGCCTTGATACCACCACTGTGAAAACCATTATTGCACTCCCATATAATGTGACTTCTTATTATCTCCCTTAGTCTGATGCTAGTCCTGTATTGATCTGTTAGTATACAGTTATTTCCCTTGACACTGGCGTGCTATTCATATGAACAATAGACATGTACACTTTTGTAAGATTTTGTTGTTTACGGGTTATGAAATATATATGTATCAACAAACAGTAGAGCTTTGATGATAATTCACTTTCAGTAAATGAATTTTTTTATCTATTGTCACTTACAGCTACAGAGGACAGAGGATGTCCATGTGGTTGTCCATCCTGGGACATATGCTGTCACCGCTGGGTCCTGGGGAACACAGCAACAACAGACACACATGGTCAATGTGAATCAAGGACAGACAGTCAGTCTTGACTTTTGTATGTGACAACGGCCAGCTTTAGTAGTCATCTGTGAATATAGGACATATTCATCTTTCATAAGATGTCTTGTTGTTCGACTGATCTGTGATTTTTTTATGACTGGAGGAAAACTTTTGCCACCTGCTATTGCAATCATTGAGAGTAAAACATTCAATAGTGTTGTGCAATTTCTTGTGGATGAGATTCATGTCAGGTTCTGATTCAGCCAGAACGGTGTATAGAGATATTAACTGAGGGAGAGAAACATGCAATACTTTTCTATACAAAATTATCAATTATTTCAAGACAAGTGTAAAAAAAATGCATTCATTATTTTAACAGCATTTTATAAAAATAAATCTTTTGATTCTATTAACTTTAAAGTGTAATAGTTTTTGATAATGAAACATGATGGGTTTTGTGTAGTTAGTAAATGTTATCTCCAAATGTTCAATATTTAAAAACATTCTTCTAAGTTGGTGAATATTTGGTGATTTTTACTTATTTGTAATGGAAACCGATATTATTAGCATGTATTAGCAAGGAAATTTGTGAGAAAGTGTGTGTGGGTTTTTTCTGTATAAATGTGGTTTGTTCAGTCCTGAGAAGAAAATCAGGTAAAAGCCCTACAAGTATAGCTGTGATTTAGAAGGTTTCAATCCAAATACACATGATGAGTGATTGATCAATTTATGTTTTAAAGAGCACACATCTGCTCTAAATATTATTTTATTGATATTTATAATTATATGGTATTTAAATTATTTTGACTTTGCAGAACATTCCTATTCTCAATTCTTGTTTATCTTTAAAGCAATGACTGAATTTCTCTTCATGCATTCATATATCTATTCTATTTTACCTAAACTTCTTTTTGACAATCTTTTATCTGCAGGGTCACTACGTCTTTACTAATAATGATCTTGTCTTCTGTTATATGTTTGCAGGATGATCAATCTATAGGTTAGCTGATGTTGGGAACTTTTATTCTCCTTACTTTTTTCTTGGAATGTTTGTTTCTCAAATTTACTTTGAATGCATAATTTGTGGAATTTTACAGTGTCTAGAGAATTTCTTATCTACTTATTTGCAATAAAAATGTATCAACAATTAGTTTCATATTTAGTGTTGTGTTTTGTAAAGTAACTGTATTTAAAGCATTAAGAAATGTCTGTGGACATTTCACAGGCAATATGCATCATATAAAGATAATGTTAATTGTGGAACTGTAGAGACAGTATACCATCTGTACAGTTGCCTCCCCTTGGCTTGTTCTTGTTCTGTATTCAGACAGAAAAATTAGGGCCCTACATCGGAAATGCAGAAGTTCTATGATAACCATGGTGTCCACCTGTCTGTTGAAAAATAAATTTCCATAGATTGTTTTGGAATACCAAAAATGAACATTTCTGAAAATATATGATATTCTGTACAATGAAATGACCTTGAACCACATTTTATATCTGTGAACGTAGTGTTATCAGGTTTGTTTATGGCCTTACCCACTTGCAAGGTCACATGGGTTAAATTTCTCAAAACCTTACTTTTTCTGAGAAACCTACACTTGTAACTGAGGCCTAGAGTGTTGATATGTATTCGGCTAGTGGGTATGCTTGCAAAGTTTGTTTAAATGAGTGATCTTGATTGACTTTAACAGTCCCTGTTCAAATTCGTTTATAAAACCTTTAAAGTGATTCTTGTGAATAACCAATAGACGTAGGGTGATGATATTTGTTAAAAAGTTGTGGTATTTCTCGGATTGCATGCCTGTGTAACGCTTTAATTTTATTCTATGGTATAGTGAACTTATACCACAGCAACATATATATGTATGTATACAAAAAAGATGTGATCTTTAACCTCTTAGTTAATGGTGTGGCTATTGCACGATATTTCGGGTGAAATAACACTATACAGTTTGGGGATTGGGGTAAAAGCTTATAATGTTAAATTTCTTATCCCTGAAATTAATTGAGATGTGAGGCTGAAAGGAGTGAATTTTTAGCGTACAAATTGTTTTCAATGAAATCTTCCCAACTGCTGAGTGGATTTAAACCAAAATTTGTTTGGTTTGAAGTATTCTAACAGGTATAGAGATTAATGTGATTCTTGTAGTAAAAATGAAGGATCTGACCCCCAGGGGTGGGTCCAAAAAGGGAAAGGTGTATGTATCATTTTAAACGGCTTCTTAATTGCTTGATGGTTTGTACTTGGCTTGAAACATAGGCACATGAGTTAAGAAAAAAAGGAACAGGTCCGAAACCAGATCGGCCTCTGTGACACTGTTTGTTGCAGAAACCTTCCATGGCCAAAGATCAACAAAAAAGTGGCTGGTTTGGTCCCCGGCCCCCAGGGGCCTGAGGGGCGGGGCCAAAAAGGGTCAAATTGACTAAAATTTCAAAAATCTTCTTTTCAAGACCCAGATATGGTAGAATCAAATACTCTTTATAGCTGGAAGGGTCTAAAGGTGCTTTACCAAAATTGTGAATTTCTTGACCCTGGGGTCTCACGTTTCCCCCTGGGGAGGGGGTAAACTTTACTATAGTTTATATAGGGAAATCACATTTTTGACCAGCATTTGTTTAATTTCTATTGGAAGTAATTCTATTCAGGTAAGTATTATCAGTATTAGGTAGCAGTCTGATAGTATGCGCATATCAGCCCTGACTGACCCCCAGGGGCTGATGGGAGGGGCCAAAAAGGCTCAAATCGACTGAAATTTCAAAAATCTTCTCAAGACCCAGATATGGTAGAATCAAATACTCTTCATAGATGGAAGGGTCTTAGGTGCTTTACCAAAATTGTGAATTTCATGACCCTTGGGTCTCACGTTTTTCCCCTGGGAGGGGTAAACTTTACTATAGTTTATATAGGGAAATCACATTTTGGACTAACATTTGTTTTAACTTCCATCGGAAGTAATTCAATTTGGGTTAGCATTATCAGTATTGGATAGCAGTTTGATGGTATCCACATATCAGCCCTGACTGACCCCCCAGGGCTGACGGGTGGGGCCAAATAGGGTTGAATTGACTGAAATTTCAAAAATCTTCCTCTCAAAGACCCAGATATGGTAGAATGGTCATGCCATAAGACCCTTCTATCTATGAAGAGTGTTTGATTCTACCATATCTGGGTCTACTCTCACATTTACCCCCTGGGGAAGGAGGGGGGGGGAGCAAAAGGTATTATGGTTTATAATGGCAAATGATACTTTGAATATTACATGTTAATAACTTGATTGGAATTATGGCCCTGAGTTGACAGTTTGGTACTTTGAAAATGTTGACCCAGCCCTACCCCAAGGCTGTAGGGTGGGGCCCAAAAGAGTCAGTGTGCTAAAATTTCTTCATTTTCCTTGTTTAGAATCGGAGATGCAAGTTTCAAATACTTTTTAGTCTTAAATCTGTATGCTAGATATTGAATAAGGTGGTTTTATTGTCAGGTGACCGTTAAGGCCCATGGGCCTCTTGTTCAATTTTTAGCTCACCTGGCCCGAAGGTCCAAGTGAGCTTATGGCATGGTGCGGCGTCCCTCGTCCGTCCGGCGTCAACTTTTTACTTTAAACAACTTCTTCTGAATAACCCAGCTGGGATGAAGGGCTACCAATTTTGTTCAAATGAATGACCTTGACCCGCTTTCAAGGTCACATGGGTCAAATGTGTTAAAATCTTCAAACAACTTATTCTCAATAACCAAAAGGCCAAGGGTACTGATATTATGCCTGTAGCATGCTGGAATGAAGGGCTACCAAGTTTGTTCAAATGAATGACATTGATTTATATTCAAGGTCACAGGAGTCAAATATGTTAAAAACCTGTAAAACAACTTCTTCTGAATAACCAAAATGCATAGGATGATGATGATCAGGGGCGGGTCCAGGTGAGGGCGTAATGGGCGCCAAAAAACAAAAACAACAAAAAAACTATCGTAATCTGCTAATATTGTATTGAATATGGCAATTTATCATATTCATTAATTAAACACATAAACACCCTGACACTTTAATTATAAAATATACATGCTCCAAGTCAGGAACCGTTACATTAGTGCATTTCACAATTATTTTATGTTTTTAGCAAAAAAATGGTCCAAATTTTTTTTCGCATCGCTCCGCTCGGCGAAAGATTTGATTCTACGTCCCCTCTTTCAAATATCCTAGAAACGCCCCTGATGATGATATTTGGCCTTTAGCATGCTGGAATAAAGGACTACCGAGTTTGCCCAAATGATGTTTTTTTTAACAAATTCTTCTGAATAACCAAGAGGTAAAAGGTGATGATATTTTGACAGTAACATGCTAGGATGAAGGGCTACCAAGTTTTTTCAAATGAATGACCTTGACTCATATTCAAGGTCACAGGGGTCAAATATGTTAAAAACCTTTAAACGACTTCTTAATATGCAAAAGGCCAAAGGTGATGATATTTTGCCATTAATATGGGACAACCAAGTGAATGACCTTCGCCCATATTCAAGTTCACAGTGGTCAATATATGTTTAAAACTTTAAATGATTTGTTCTGTATAACCAAAAGGTCCATGGTAATGATATTTTGCTAGAAGCATCCTGGGTTGGAAGACTATAAACTCTGTTCAACCTAATGTCCTTGTTCGACATTCAAGGTCACAGGTGCCATATGTTTAAATCTTTTAATATGTTCTTATGAATCAAACGCTGATATTCTGCCTGTAGCTGTATTTTAGTCCACTTTTAAGATTACAAGTGTGAGTTTAATACCAGGTGAGCGATGCAGGCCCTTTGGGCCTCTTGTTTTCAAAATTATATTGTTTGTTTCCTCTCCTCCTCCATATGCTGCTGCAAATTAAGACCACGCATGTATACTAATATCTTAGTTTATATAACTACTGTATAAGATACCGCTTTATTTGGTTAGCTCCTGTTATACAGAGATATATGCAACAGGACACTCTCATCCGGATATATCGATCTGCCCGACTCGGGTATTAGTAGATTACAGTTCTCCTATTGAGAGTTCCTGCTTTTAATATGTCACATGTTTGTCGTTTCCTGTAATGTAGACATAATAGAATAACAATGTGCGCTAAGGGAGAGTTGTTAGACAAACTTCGTACATGTACAGGCTTGAACGTTACCCAGGATAATACAGTGCCAATTGTTATGTTACTAAATGTACTAAACCATTTCTTGGTAATAACAAAAATGCTTTAATATCTTCACGAAGCAGACAACAACTGTATACACCAGTATTCCTCAGAGATAAGCCATTTAAGGTTTTACTTGCTGTAGGGACATGTGCTTGTTGCCATGAAAATACGCCATAATTGATATGTATGTTACATATACCATGGACACATTTCTTTATCGATATGCGTTTCTATGGGGACATACTCTTTCTGCGGATGTAATGGTGCTTGGATAGGCCAGCTGAGGAAATTTGTTGAAATGGATACACACCTTCTAAAAAGGAAATTTGCCTTGGAAACACACCCTATTGACATTTGTTGCTATGACGATAGCGCTCTAAACTGAAGCTAGAGACATATGACGTCTGTTGGTTTGTGTTGCTATGAAGATGCGCTCTATATCGATATTGTATTTTAGGGCATGGATTACTTCCGCTAATTGTTATTGTACCACGTGCACGTATATATATATATAGAATTCATGTCATTCATCTGGATTTTAGGGTCATCTACGTTCCCATGAGGAGACGACTGTATAAATACCTTCAATATTTATTTAGTGTAGTTGATTGCAGATGTTTACATGCAAATGACATTGATTTGTTATGATAGGTGCCAAGGGAATTTAGGACGTCAAAGCAGGATTAGAAATCAATCTACATTATCAGCAGAACTAGGACAACGAGAAATACAGCTACGGATGCTTTGGGCTGAATAAGCTTTGAAACATAACAAGTCATCATATATGTTCCTCGGTACCATTTTCTGTTTCAGATGCAGATAAAACGACAAAAACATATACACAGTTGTTGTTTTTGTACACCTTTACTACATAATCAAAGGTATTTACTTACATGTACATTTATTTATATATCTGATATTACATTGTATTTTATAAGCAAATCTTTCCAGTTAATTGCAGAAAACGGTCAAATTGCATCGAGT